TCCTAACATCGCACAAAACGTGTGCGTACGCGCCAGCAATCTCCGCATTCACTCGAGTAGTGGGTCAGAATTTCAGTGTCGTTTTCGAGCCTGAGACTGACTATGTTGCTAAACAACAGTAAAAGTGTGGGAGGGGGAAGAGCCGCTGTGATGAAAAAGCCAGTTCTAGAGACACCGCCTTGGAACGCCTTGTACTAGAATATAAAGACGGTGCTGATGGCTCTTTCTGGCTCTTCTCCCCAACCCCTCTTTCTAATAAATCTTCTCACTTAAAAAAAAAAAAAAAAGACGGTGCTGATGGATGGGAATGTGTAAAATGACACTGGAGCTTTGAAGACTCTACCAACCAAATCCGTGAAATTTCATTATCAAAATAAAGATAATAAGAGTATAACTAATTGGAGGCAATGAGATGGCTAGGTGGGGAAGGATGCTTGCTACCCAGCCTGTCCACCCTACTCCAATCTCCAGGGACTCACAATTGTCCCCTGACCTTCACTTGTGTACAGGACACACTTAATAAATACATGGTAATTTTTTTTTTATTTTAAGAGTATAATTAGATACTGAGCTGGTGACCAATGAGGGATTTTCCTACAGTAGCAAGCACACTTATTATATATAAAAAGTAAATGAAGAGAAAATTCGATGTCTTAACTTTGAATATGTAACAAATATTACTCCAGTGCAGCAGTCCTCGACGCAGGTAAGTGGCTCAGCCATGCAGCTGCTACAAAGCTGTGCAGATGCGATGTCACACAGAGTGGGCACAGCAGACAAACCTCATTCTGGAAACAACGGGGCTAGCACATCGTCTTGAAGTATCCTGCACCGGATGGCTTTCGGCTTCCAATTGACAGCTTGAGAGCCCAAACGCCATATGACAGATGAGATTGCACGCTCTCCCCAGAGTTCTTCCATTATCAGACTCTAGCTCCACCTGTGGAGGACCTGAGGGAACTATCAGTATACACCACTGCTTTTGTTCCTGGGGAAAACTACAGTTCTTTTGGGGGTTCCTTAGTCTCAATAAAAGAATTTAGAAATGGACTCAAACATAAGGACAATAGTATTAGAGTTTAAGAGGAGAGCAGTACAGGTTAGTTGAAAACCTCAGAAGCTGCTAGGAAATGGAGGAAAAAGTCATGTCTTTTAAACTAGACACGGAACAGAATTAGTTTATCAAGAAAGGGGAAAACTGGCCTGGCAATGGTAGGTGAGCCTGGTCTACAAAGCTAATTCTAGGACAGCTGTGCTACACAGAGAAACTCTGTCTCAAAAATAAAATAAAATTTAAAAAAGGGAAAGAAAGAAAGGGGAAAACGGGGCTGAAGAGATGGCTCAGCTGTCAACACTGCACCAGAGAACCCAGGTTTCATAGTGACTTGCAACCTTCTCCAACTCCAGTTTCAGGGGATCTGGCACCCTCTTCTGGTCTCTGTGGGTGTTGCATGAACATAGTGACTAGACATTCTTCCAGGCAAAATACCCATACACATAATTTTTTTTTTTTTAAAGAAAAAAACTGGGCTGGAGAGATGGCTCAGCAGGTAAGAGCATGGGCTACTCTTCCAAAGATCCTGAGTTCAATTCCCAGCAACCGCATGGTGGCTTACAACCATCTATAATGGGATATAATCCCCTCTTCTGCCATCAAGCATATATGCAGAGCACTCATGCCTAAAAAAAATACATAAATAATAAAATTTAAAAAATAATAAAAAGAAAGAAAGAAAAGCCACCCCCAAGAATAGAAATGGCCCAATAAGCTGAGCAAAGAACCTAAAAAGTGTCTGGTGTGCGGGTGTATGGTCTTTTACAGCCCACTCTTCCTGTTTGTCTTTCAGTGGCTTTAAGTGGCTTTGTTTTTCTCATGCTCTGTTCATGATGCCAGAGTAAGGAAAGGCTTTGGGTCTTCCTCTACAAATGGACTTCTTTCCCATTTTAGTCTTGATGTAGCTTTTGTTGTTGTCCTTTCTCTCCTGTCACATTCTTGTGAGAACCCTTGACCCCAATATATTTTTAACATGCTGAGTCAGGACAAGATCTGAGAGTGCCCATTTGTCCCCTGGATAGCTGTGCTGGACAGGGGCCCCTCGGCACAGTGGAGTGGCTTGCTGGAGGTACTTTGGTGCCTCAGAATCCTTCCGGGGACTTCTGGCCATCCTAATCATTGGAGTACTCCAGGCAGTGAGAGTACTGAAGCCCCTGGTTTCTTGGGGTCGTACTGTGATACTTACACGCTGTTGGCTAGTCCAGCTGCTAGGACCTGGGTCCTGGTTTCCATCTACTGAGTGATATACGCTTTAGTGCATTAGTGTGGAAGTACTTGGCACGTTTGCTCCCAGTATGAGGCCAGCAGTGGCCTGGCCCTCAGATGTCGTGTCTCAGAGTGTAGCAAAGTGGTGACCCTTTACTCTATTCTAGAATCTGACTGAACTGTTCCAAATCAGGGTTTTCTGACATGAAGTAATGACATAAGCAGAAATCTGCAGCTCAGGCTTCTGCACTTGCCTCAAGTTAGCACCCTGGACCATTCTTGCAGCCACCAGCTCCAGCTTCACTTCTGTACGGTGATTTTATTTTCTCCTCCCACTGCCCATTTGTCCTGGAGGTCTCCTTCCTTATCATCTCAGGTTCATGGAGGGGTTGCAGTCTTCTCAGCTGCACGTGGAGTGCTCTTCCCAGCCACCATCAGAGTACTACCACTTAGCGCTTACATCTTATCCACGAAACACCTTGTGTTTCAACAGTCAGGAGAGCGGGTCCCTTCCTGCATCGTCTGACTCACTGGGGCTTTCCCCCTGTGCCTCCCTTGCATGTTGTCATTCATCCAGATTCTTAGCACATGTGAACAATGGAGGCCACTGTTTTGTAAAGAGACAAGTCTGTTGTGGCTGTGCTATCACAAAGGACTGGCACAATCCATTGCTGGCAGCTAAGGCAGTTTGTTCTCTCTCTCTCTCTCTCTCTCTCTCTCTCTCTCTCTCTCTCTCTCTTGGTTTTTCGAGACAGGGTTTCTCTCTCTCTCTCTCTCCTCTCAAAACTCATGTTATTCCAGGCAGTTAGTGGTACATGCCTTTAAATTCAGTACTGGGGAGGCAGAGGCAGGCAGATCTCTGAGTTTCAGGCCAGCCAGATAGGGTTCCAGGACAGCCAGAAGTATACAGAGAAACCCTGTTGAAAAACAAAACAAAACAAAACAACAACAAAATCTATGTGTATGGATGTTTGCCTGCATGTTTTTCTGTATATGGCTTACGTGCAGTGCCTATGGGGGACCAGAAGAAGGCATCAGAGTCCCTGGAACTGGAGTTACAGGGAGTTGTGAGCTGCTACATTTAAGTGCTGAGAACTGAACTCAAGTCTTCAGGGAAAGCTGACAGTGCTCTTAATCAAGCAGCTATCCCTCCAGCCCCCTTTTCTTTTCTACTCCCTGATGCTCCCCTGATTCAGGATAGTCCTGAAAGACCCGCTCGAAATGCCCCTGAGCCCCCTGCCCCGAAGCTGCCGG